GGGCACTTGATGAATAACGCCGTCCACCTTAAAGGCAGCCATGCTGTTAGAACTGCCATCTGTAAAAACTAAGGAGGCATTAGGAATGGGCTGAAGTTTGGTAATCTTCGGAAAAACAACAGGGTGCAAGCGCAAAAACTGAAGCAATTTATTTGGGGGATAGTGGTTATCCATGGTGCCTGAAAACCCTGAAGTGAAAACGACCCATTCTTGATGGTTTTCCATTAGCCATTGAAGTTCTGGCTTGGTGTAAGGAACAATAACTTTAGTGGGTTGGCAACCAAAAAGCTTAACAGAGGCTTCACAGCCTTGTATAAGGAGCTGAAGTACTAAATGGGGATACGTGGCTAGCACCTTGTTAGGGGATGAGGGAAGATGTATCCAAAAAGAGGGGCTAGCTGCCATAAGACCGCAGTGGGCGCAATGGCAGTGGGACAAACAATAAGGTTGAGGGGTTGGGCGGCATCATAGTAAGTGATAAACTGATTTTGAATTGCAGTATTAACTATTGCCAGGGCTTTGGCTGCCTCGGCGGTAAGCCGCCGTGGGCTGTTGGGGTTGGAGTCTCCTTTAAGGATGTCAAATAGAGGTTTTAAATCACCGGTAGACACCTGTAAATAGGGCCTAAGCCAGGTGATGTCACCCAAGAGGCGCTGAAAGTCATTGAGTGTTTTAAGATGATGTGTGCGAATTTGGACCTTTTGGGTTTTAACCTGATTAGGAAGTAATTCAAAACCAAGAAAAAGCTGCGGAGGGTGGACCTGTATTTTATCTTCTGAAATATTAAATCCTCTAAGTTGTAAAGTGTTAATAAGATCTCTTGCAGCCTGTTGGACAAGTAACTCATCGTTACAGGCCAATAAAATGTCATCCATATAATGAATGAGATAAATCGAAGGGTAAAGAATTCTAAATGGATCTATAATGGAGGCAACATACTTTTGACAAAGGGTAGGGCTATTGGCCATGCCTTGAGGTAAAACCTTCCATTGGTATCTAGGGTTGGGGCCAATACAATTTGTTAAGGGCACGGAGAACGCAAAACGCTTACAGTCCTCAGGGTGTAGAGGGATAGAAAAAAAGCAGTCTTTTAGGTCTAAAACAATTTTAAAGCTACCTTTGGGAATAGCAGAGGGGCACGGGAGCCCAGGTTGGGTGGCTCCCATGGGTACCATGGTTTTGTTAATTTCTCTTAGATCATGTAAAAGTCTCCACTTGCCTGTTTTCTTTTTGATAACGAAAATAGGGGTATTCCAAGGGGATGTGGAGAGTTCTATATGGCCAGCATTGAATTGCTCCTGCACAAGCTGCTGGGCCGCTTCTAGTTTTTCTCTAGCTAGAGGCCACTGCCCCACCCAGACAGGATCATCATTTATCCAGGTGATTTTATCTGCCTGGGGCGCAGGGGAGGCAGTGACCGCTACTGAAAATTTTGAGCAGGGGGCTGTAGCCAAGGCCTGCTCTATCTAATTTTATGGGAGGGTTAACAGGTCGTGATATGCCCTGTAAATTCTTTCCAAGACCTTTAGTTGGGGTGTATCCCTGTGCAAGCATTTGTTTTACTGCTGCTGGGTTTTTACATTTTATAATGTAAACTCCCATCTGTTCCATAATATCCCGGCCCCACAAATTAATAGGCAAGTCAGGAATAATGTAGGGGCGAACAAGACCTGTGTCTCCATCTTCATCCTGCCAGACTAACCTGTTAGCACTAATGAGGACCTTTTTGACAGAGCCCGCCACCCCAGAAACAGTATCAAAAGAGGAAACCGTAGCCCATTCGGGGGGCCACTGGGTAGGGGAGAAGCACGTGGTGTCAGCCCCAGAATCTAATAGGCCAGAGAAGATTTTTCCCTCAATATTAATAGATAGCGGGGGTCGGACCCGGCACATGGCGCGGACCCAAAAAATCTCAGAGGAGCCAGGGAAGGTGATACCTCGATCTTGTGACAAGGCGGGGAATTGGGCATTCATGGGTAGAGGGAGAGCCTGGGCAATGCGTTGGCCAGGGACAATTTGTACGGGGTGATAGGGGGCCACCGCAAGGAGCATGATTTCTCCTGTGTAATCATTATCCACCAAAGAAGGTTGGACAATAAGGCCTTTGATGGTTGCAGAGGCTCTGCCAATAACCATAAAAAAAGTATTGGAGGGTGGGGGTCCATAGACTCCAGTGGGTATAACTTGTACCCCATCCTCGGGTTTTAATATCCTTGGGGAGGAGGCACAGAGGTCCAATCCTGCACTGCCGGCGGTGGCCCTGACAAGGGAGGTTGCTGTGGGGGCAGCATACTGCGAGGCACCAAAGGTTGGCTTGCTGGTGCATGCTGCAGGGCTGCAAACTGTGCTGGCTGGGGTGGGGTTTGTAGTGAATGCTGGTAAGGGCCAAACTGGTGGCGGGACCGGCTGTTCCCCGAGGCCGGTTGAAAGTTGGTAAGTTGTGGGACCCGGGGCTGGTCCCGCAACCCGTTTCCCTGAACAAGGGGCAAGGGGTTGCCTTCAATGTCATGTGTGGAGCGGCAAGCCGAGACCCAATGGCGGCCGCGGCGGCACCGAGGACAAGGGGGAGGGCGGGGAGCCAAATTGCCTGTCTGCGGTGCTAGGGCCTGCCGCTGGGGACAGCGGGGGGCAAAGTGGCCAGGGGCACCACACTGAAAGCAAGTCTTTCCTTTGTTCTGCCCTTGAAAAGCAACAAGGGCCTTAGTTATTTTGTGAACAAAGGGATCGGCCTCTCTACATAGGCTGATCATATCATGTAAAGTTTTTCCTTTCAAATTTCCCCTAAGAATATTTTTGCACGTATCATTTGCATTTTCAAAAGCCAACTGTTTCACTAAAGTATTATCAGTATCAGTGGAGGGGACACCCAAAATTCTTTCTACAGCTTCAAGGAGGCGGGAAATAAAACTGCTATAGGATTCATCAGGGCCTTGAACAATTTGGGCTAAAGGAGCCGTGGAGGTGCCTGCCCGGGGTAGAGACTTCCATGCTCCCATAGCAGCTAGGGCTGAATTGGCAAGGAGGTTGCGGGGGAACTTCCGTTGCTCAGCAAGTTTATCATAAGGAGCGGAACCAGAGATACGAGCGAATAAGTCATTGTCCCCTCCAGCTAATTCTTTGCAGCGGCTTAAAAAATCAACTTCCCATAATAAATATACCTCCCTTTTCAGTGCGGTCTTCGCTACACCCCTCCATTCAAAAGGCATGACAACTCCGCCGCCCCCCACAGATTCAAGGCATGACAAGGTGTAGGGGGCCATAATGCCATAGGTATTAACTGCCTTGAAAAGCTCATGTAGGTCTTTTTTGTTAATAACCCTATACTCTAAGAGCTGTTCGTGAACAGGGCGGTCAGGGAGGTCTAATCCTCCCGCTGTGCCTCCCTCATCAGGAGTGGGGTCTGGCTCAATGGCATCGGGGTCGGGATTTTGGCGAGCCGCTTCTTCGGCTCGAACTGCCTGTCTAGTGCGTGGTCGCCCCTGTGCCGCAGGAAGAGGTCTAGTAGGGGGAGGCGGTTCGGCTCCTTCCCCTTCAGGGCCAAAAAGAGGGAACTGGAGTTTAGGTGATGCTGAAGAGAAGAGCTGTGAAAACTTGTCGCTGAGAGCTTGAACGAGAGAGGAAGCAAGAGAATCGACAGTGGAGGAGTATTTGGGAGCAACAGATCGAGGGGGATCAGGGAGCGAGGAAAGATCATAGGGAGGAGGTCTCCTGGCCAGAGAGACCTCGCGCCCGAAGGCCTGAAGGTAGGCAGCAGCCTCTTCCTCTAGCTCCTGGGCATCCCCAGGATCGAGAGGTTCCTCAGTAGGAGCAGAGGCGACAGCCCGTAGGGAGGGGTAGATGCCACCGGTGGCTGAAGAGCGAGCTTTAGGGGCAAATGAGGTAGGTTGATCAGGAGGAGAAGGTGGAAGCTTATCAAAGTCAGAGTTAGCAGAGGAAGAGGAACAATCTTTAGAAAGATCAGCGACAGAACTTGCTCTGGAGCTGGCACGAGAGCACCCTCGGGAAGCAACCTCTAGATGTTGTTGGGCATCTTTAAGAATTTGTTCATTTCGGGGCTTTCCTTTGCGTTAACAATGATACCTTTTAAGAGATCCCAATACTGTTGCATAATCTTTTTATCACTTTCAGAGCCTTTGGTTTCGAAATAATTAGTTAATTCAGCCCCGACCCGTTCCCAAGTACTGCAAACTATTTTTGGGCAGGTAATGACAAACCAGGGACAAACTTCATGTACAAAAAGCAAAAACTTAAGTAAATCTTTTTTCTTAACCTCAATGTTTCTATCTCTTAATTCTTCTTGAATTCCTTTAATAAATCTAGCTTCTTTGCTGATACTAGTCCCCATTTTCGCGGGACGGATGGGACGGCGGTGTTAACCTAGGTCATTAGACTAACCCTACTCTGCGCCACCCGGATGGGGCTTACCTGACGCCTTATGAGTGGGCTCCGGACTCGTCGCGCCTCTGCCGTCCGATCGGTGGTCTGTAACTCGTGTCCCACGTGGGCGCCAGTTGCGACCCCCGGGAAGGGACCCCCGACCCGCGGGGGTGAGGTGATGAGGGTCGCTACTAATTTAGTGGGCCTTCACGAGCAGATCCGATCTGGAAAGTGAACTTCAAGAGGTTAATGGAAACAGGCTCAAGACAACGTTCGCTGATCAAGAGCCTTTATTTTTTGGGGCGCGCTGGAATTTATAGAGGAAGGACCTCAGGGGGTGGTACAAGCATGTCAATCAAGTCTCAATTCAAATATACACCAAATACGGTAAAGACAAAGCTGTAATTTTCCATCAGTCATTAGTTGCATTCCACAAATGCTTGTCAGCGTAAGTCAGGTGCAGGAATTAGGGAGGGGTAGGAAGTGTACAGCAGAACGCTATAATCTTGTTAACAAAGACAATTGCTCTGTAAGGGTATTTCCCCTGGCTAGGCGGGTGGGCTGCCCTGTGTAAATTTAACTTTAATGGTTAGCCTTTTCCTTTGTCTCAAGGGCATGTGTGCTCGCAGTCACGTAGGCGGAAGGCCAAGAAACGGTTGACAGACTCCATTTTGTTCAAGGTTCTAGCAGTCCCCAACACACTTACTTCATTCTGGCTAATAATGTAGTAAGGTTAAAGAAATTAGTGAGTTATTTCCTGAAAAAAGAAGGCTGAAATAATGTCATTTTAAGTTAGGGACTTAAAGATCATTATTTATATCTATGTTTTGACTTGTATAGCAGTTAAAAATGTTCCTGACAGTAATAGTTATACAGTATATTCTGATCACAGTTTCCCATGCCCTATCTGCTCCCTATCTCTCCACCCATCCAACTCCATGCATTCTTTCTCTTCCCCCAACTCTCTCTTTAGAAAGCAAACAGGTAAGTAGAAAAGAAAATAAACAACAACAACAATAATAAATCAAAAAATCACAGAGGATATATTCCAAGACACACGGGCACACAGTACACATACAAACACACACACACCATTAAAATGCAAAATTGAAAACCGTAATATAAAAGCAAAAGACTGGCAAGAACACACACACACACAAAAATGCCCAAACAAATTAACATGAGACAAAGAAAGTCCACAAAAACACCACTGAGTTCTTTTCGTGTTGTTTGTTGACTGCCGGGCACAGGGCCTGCCCTTAAGAGTGAGACTGTTAGAGAAAACGGATTTTTCCTTTGCAAGCAGTTGTCAAGTGGAGAGAGCTTCTTGGGTGGGGATGGGAGCTCATGCCCACATCCCCACTTCAGTGCGGGGACTCTATGTGTAGGGCCTGTGTGTGCTGTCTGAGTCTCTGTTAGCTCATCCTGTGTGCATCCATTCCATTGTGCTTGGAATACAGTGTTCTTGCTGTCATCCATCCCCTCTGGCTCTTACAACCTGTCTGTCTACTCTTCTACATAGCTTTCTGAGCCCCGAGAGGAGGAGCTTGATGAAGCTTGGGACCGAGTGTTCCAAAGCTTCTCACTCTCTGCACGTTATCCGGTTGTCCCCACCAAGTTGAATGGGAGTGATGAGAGAGTGGGAGAACAGATGCATGGTTTCAGTTATGTGACATGTCTGCCCCCATTTTGTGTTGTGCGTACAATACCCACCGGCGCTCTGACTTTGGTTTCTCTCTAAAGCAGTTTCATTGGTGAATCGTCTTTGTGTGTTAAAATCTTATTTTCTGACTAGAGCTTATCTCTGTCCACTGCAGGGTGAATCCTTAAGCTTCCTGACTCGAAACCTCCTCAGGCAGAATGAAAACACCTTGTGCTCTCTGTTCCACTGTAGCATTTTCAAGAGAAGTGAGAAAAAATGTGGGAGGAAGTTGAATCCACAAATCACTCCCCTGAGGTCGTACTGATTTGACACACTCAGGCAACTTCTTCCAGACACTGGTGTCAGATGGTTTCTGATAGTTTGGACTGGGAGATAAGAGAGAAGGGAAGATGTTCACAGTCTTTCCCTCCGTGTCCGTGGTATCCTCAGCAGTCACATTATCTCTTCCATCGGTCCAGCCTCACCAACCCTATCTGCGATTTTACCTTCTGAGTGATCCTTCTCATTGCCTTCTACAACAGCCTCTTCTTCCTTTCGTTAATTAGTCTGTGGGCTTCTTATCTGAAGTTTGGTTTCTCAAGTTCTTTGTCAACCTCATACAGTGTCCTATATTAAAATCATTTGACAGATTTGTTTCTGGTTTGGACTTACTTTTTAAAAGTACCCATTGAGTACAATTTCCCAGGGTTACATATTTCTTGGGGAGGGGTTGGAAGGAAGCTAAGATAAATCAAAACTATTGCTTGCATGTTGCAAAAGTTAAAAAATATCTTTTCCCTCAGTTATACTAAACAGTTTAGCAGATTCATTTTTCTTTCTAATTGAGTAATGTTTTGGATTCATGTTGGTGTAATTGAATCCCACAATCACTGTCTCTCCTACAGTTGCTGAGAAAGTCTACTCAAAGCACATAATTTGGAACTGAGTGATTACTTGGATGTCTACAACTGTCTGGGAGGACATTTTGGCTTCCATCATGCCACTAGACATACTGCACATAAAAATGGATAGTACAGTGTTGACTGTCTAAAATATTTGGAATTGTGATTTCACTGGAAGTGAGTCAAGAAGAACGAAGGCGAAGGGAGGAAAGAGAGAGAGAGAGGAAAAAGGCCACTTTGAAACATGGATAATTTGAAGCCAGGCTCCACTGCAAACTGCCTTGAGTAAGTCATCCTCACACATTGATCCTAGCATTAACTAAATGAAATGTGCTCGGTGGGCATTGGTGGTGCATGCCTTTAATCCCAGCACTGGGGAGGCAGAGGCAAGTGAATCTCTGTGAGTTCGAGACCAACCTGGTCTACAAAGAGCTAGTTCCAGGACAGCCTCCAAAGCCACAGAGAAACCATAAATAAATAAATAAATAAATAAATAAATAAATAAAGGAATAAATGAAATGTGTATGAGGTCAGGTACAGGACTGCCAAAGCCACAGAGAAACCATAAATAAATAAATAAGGAATGAAATGTGCATGACGTCAGGTACAGGACTGCCAACAGCAGAAGACTGAATTCTTCCAGTTTCAACATAAAGAACAACTTATTTTGTCATACACCTGTGTACCCAGGTAGGTGTGCTCTAAGACATCCACTCTGATATTCAAGAGCTAAGGGGCCATCATAGAGTGCACTTTCTGTTCATTGTCTGTTCACTCTGAACTGTCCTGTAGTCAGGACACATAACAGATGCTCCAACTGCCAATCTTAGCAGAAGAAATCTGGTCTTCTTTGTTTTTTATTTTGTTTTGATTTTTATTTTATAAAATCCTTTCTTAGGGTTATCCCCAGAGAGGTTTAAAGTTGGGCTATAACACTCAGAAATTTACACATATTTTAGAAATAATTTTAACCACAATTTTGGGGATTAGAAAATAATATAGGAGTTTTCTAATCAGAATTAGAATTCTTAACATATGTACAAAGCAAAACATACTTTTCTTATTTTTAAACCTATTTTAGGGTTGAGATGTAAAAAATGTTTGGCATTTTCCACTCTAGGAAATGGAAATAATAAGGTTTATTGGTAATATACTATCTTTGAAGCACTGAGTTATTTTTTATCACTATTTTTGGCAACCAGACACAGTGGTGGTTGATATTAATACCGCACCATCTTATAGATAAGGATATTCGGTACAGATATGCTAGATAATTTTCCTACTCTCTGGTGGTTAATTTGGTAAAGACCTTGGATTTGAACTGACAAAGCTTAATACAGAGTCCCTGTCTTTTATGCCACAGGATGACTGAATGCTCTCATCTGGAATTCACCAATCAAAACGTCCAGGGCTTTATGGATTTCACCACAGTCCTTTCCAACTGCTTTGAAATATCATGGCTATTAGATTCTGTATGTTAAAATCCATTTGGTTTAGAACTTTAAAAAGCAGACATATAAATACTTGAAAAAATCCACTTATGAGTGAGTACATTCTGTGTTTGTCTTTCTGAGTCTGGGTTACCTCACTCAGGATGGTTTTTCTAGTTCCATCCATTTGCTGATAGAACTCCATTGTGTAAATGTATCACGTTTTCCTTATCCATTCTCCATTCTTCATCTGAGGGGCATCGAGGTTGTTTCCAGGTTGTGGCTATTATGAATAATGCTGCTATAAACATTGTTGAGCAAATGTCCTTGTGGTATGATTGAGCGTCCTTTGGGTAAATACCCAAGCGTGGTATCACTGGGTCTTAAGGTAGATTGATTTCCAATTTTATTAGAAACTGCCTTACTGATTTCCAAAATGGCTGTACAGGTTTGCACTCCTACCAGCAGTGGAGAAGTGTTCTCCTGACTCCACATCCTCTCCAATATAAGCTGTCCTCAGTATCTTTGATTTTATTAATTCTGACAGATAAAAGGTGGTATCTTAGAGTTGTTTTGATTTGCACTTCCCTGATGATTAAGGATGTTGAGCAATTCATTAAATGTCTTTTGGCCATTTGAGATTCTTCTAATGACAATTCTCTGTTTAGCTCCCAATTTTTCAATTGGGTTATTTTGTATTTTGATGTCTAGTTTCTTGAGTTCTTTATAAATTTTGGAGATCAGCCCTCTGTCAGACATGGAGTTGGTGAAGATCTTTTCCCACCCTGTTGGCTGACATTTTGTCTTATTGACAGTGCTCTTTGCCTTACAGAAACTTTTCAGTTTCAGGAGGTTCCATTTATCATTGTTGAAAAGAAAACAATTTATCATCAATTCAAGTGGCTCACAAATTCAGCACTTCCTAAATATTCATGTCTTTAAGAGTAATCCTGGAGATTATGTTAGATGTAGATTCTGAGTCCTCATGGCATGGAAGCTCCCAGCTGATACCAGGGTTGCTGTCCTGAGGATCATGGTAACACTGTAAAATGTCAATGATGCTGCACACAGTAACGGTGAACTGACTATGCTCTAGGGCCAACATGTATTAGCTTGTGCAAGTCAACTATCAAATTTTCAGCCATCTCAAAAGCTGGCTGTTTATTTCAGCCATTAGGGACAATTACATTATGGAAATTTAAAATGAAATAATTGCATTAGAAACAAAGGCAATACATACCCAATTCATCACCACTAATTTTTTTTCTTGTCCTGTGTGCTCTTGGGTATTCTTGTTGTTTATTTTTTTCATCTGTTGAAACACTGTACGATGTATCACAGCAAAGAAAGCTCTTCCAACTCTATGTTCAGATTAGAAACCGTAAATCAAATTCTTTGTGATGGGAGTATCAACACCATGAAAAGTAGAAAACATTGTAAATCACATAGCCGCCTAATCTACCCCTGGAAATTTTGATGCTGAAACATTGACCAACATGGCACTATGGTGAGCTTGTAGTTAACATTTTCTTATTTAAAATCTGTCTATCTTCCCAAAATATAGGACAAGTTTGCATTGAGTTTGCAATATGTCAACTTACTCTATTGTTTGGCCTCGATTGTGCCCTCATTACAGTAATTTGTTCTGCATGGTCTGTGCAGTCTCATGTTTTGGCTTTGGCAACTGATCACCACTATTGGACTCTACAACATCTGTTTGAATGGTCATGGGTCCCTGGTCAGAAAAACCAATGAAAAAGAAGTCCAAACCAAAATGCCATGACTTACACTGCTTATAGGCAGTAAACAAGGTAACCAGGGAAAGAAAGCAATTCTCTCACACGGTTGGAATTATTTAGGAAACTGACAAGCAATGAAAGATTGGAGCCATATTTGAATCTTAACTTCAGGGGAGAAAGGTAAGTATTCAGGTTTCTGATGTAGGGTGTTTTGCATGAGTCCTGCTAATTGGCAAGATTGAGTCTTGTAGGGTCAAATGCATGAAGAGAAAAGTGTAATATTCCCTAAAACATCCAATCCACCCCTTTGGTTCATTCTTCCATCATATTTTCACTCAGCAAGATCTAAGTTCAAAGAGCCAGCGATCTCCTTGGCTGCAGCATGAGGAGTGATATTTACATTAAGCCGATGAAACACAAGTAACAGACAAAACATAGGGAGATGTGGGTCTAGGGACTTACAAGAATTCCACTACTTTTTTCTTTCTGTTTGCTTCCCCGGTAAGAGAAGATGGAAAGAAAACCCTCTAAACATGTTTTCTGCATTTCATATTTATGGGAAAATTTCCCACTCTTTCATTATGATTGAAGCCTCAACGATGGTTGGAAGTGCTTTCTTTCTTCATTCCTTTCTCTCTCTCTCTTTCTCTCTTTCTTTCTTTCTTTCTTTCTTTCTTTCTTTCTTTCTTTCTTTCTTTCTTTCCTCCTTCCTTTCTTTCCTTCTTTCTTTCTTCCTTCCTTTCTTTCTTTCTTTCTTTCTTTCTTTCTTTCTTTCTTTCTTTCTTTCTCTAGTCTTTCTCTGTGTGTGCACACACTTGCACACTGCTTTTAAGAATCACAACTTTTGCCCCTTGTGGTGTTGCACACCTTTAATTCCAGCACTCAGGAGGCAGAGGCAGGCGGATCACTGTGAGCTCCAGGCCAACCTGGTGTACAACAGTGAGTTCAGGGCAGCCATGGTGAGATCCTGTCTCACAAAACTTTCCTTCTAGAATGCATTTCCTCCCACCCAGATAAAAGTATTAGCATTTTAGTTGCTAACAAGACAACTGCCCACTTCCGTGGTTGACTGATAGTTTTGAAATCGGTTATCTTGATAAGTTAGTTTTCAGTTGGATGCTCACATAAATTTATGTTTCATGCTGTAACTTAAGCTGATTCTATAGCAAGAGGCATGCTACTAAGGCTCCAGAGATTTCTGAGGCCTCCTCACTGACACTACATTCATGGAGTCTGAATCAGTCCCCTGTTGACCTCTCTGTCATCAGTCTGGGTTCAAGAGCTCCCCCTTGTCTGGTCAGCTGTCTTTGTGGGTTTCACCAGCACGTTCTTGACCCCTTTGCTCATCACTCCTCCATCTCTGTCACTGGGTTCCAGGGAGAACAACAGATTTTTTTTGATGTTTTTGCGACAGAGTTTCTCTGTATTGCTTTGGAGGTTGTCCTGGAACTCACTCTGTAGACCAGGCTGACCTCAAACTCACAGAGATCCACCTGTCTCTGTCTCCTGAGTGCTGGGATTAAAGGCATGTGCCATCAACGCCCAGCGAGAACAACAGATTCTTTTTTTTATTATTATATTTTTTTATTTTATTTTCCAGTTTAAATTTAGATAAGAAACAAGGTTGCTTCACAAGTCAGTTCCAGGTCCCTCTCCCTTTCCCTCCCCTCCTCCCATGCCCTCCCCCCAACCCCCCCCGTTATCCCCTCATTCCCCCATGGGGGTGTCCATAGTCTGTCACTTCATATAGGGCAGGGCCTAGACCCTTCCCCAAGAGTTCAGGGTGAGAGTGCACCTCACAGAGAACAACAGATTCTTAAGGAGACTATATTTAGCTACATTCTCCTGGCTTTTCTATGTATTATTTAATTTACTATTGTATGGGTGAAATTTTTCCATCTTAAAACAGTTAGCCCTCATATTTGGAAATATCTACCTTACTAATGTTTCTATGGGGGTATTATTGTTGCTTTGATTATATTATAATATGTAGAGAGAGAAGCAATGCCTTTACATTTATTTATTTTTAGGTGAAAAAACATTTTTTCCACACAATGTATTCTGATCATGCTTTGGCCCTCCTTCAGTTCCTCCTATGTCCTTACTACCTCCTCATCCACCCAACTTCATGCCCCTTTTTTCACTCTCTTTAGAAAACAAACGAAAAAAAACCCCTCCAAAACCTATAAGAAACCCTCTTTCACATACACACACAAAGCAACAACAGTACCCCCAAAAATCACTAAATCAGAAACTAATATACAGGCAAAGACCAGCAAGAACAAGAAAAAAATGCCAGAACGAAGCAATATGAGACAAAAGTCTACAAAAATACCACTTAGTTTGTTTTGTGTTGGCCATCTACCACTGGGCAAAGGTCTTTCCATAAAGTGTGATTAATATGCTCAAGTGAAACTCCACTGGAGAAAGCTAATGTTTCCTTTGCAAGTGATTGTGAGTTAGAGATAACTTCTTGGTTAGAGGTGGGAACTCAGATCTACTTCCCCCTTTCAGCACTGGGACCCCACCTGGTTTGAACCTGTGCATGCTGCCGCTGTTTCTGAGTTCATGTATGCATCAGTCTTGTGTCTGGAAGGCACTATTTCCTTGGTCTCATCTATCCCCACTGGCTCTTAGAATATTTCTGCATCCTCTTTGGATAGCTCTCTTAACCGTGGTGGGGGTGATTTAATGAACGCATCCCACTTAGTACCTAGTGTTCACTCACTTTGTATATTGTTCAGTAGAGGGTCTCTGTGTTAGTTTCCATCTCCTGCAAGAGAGGCCATGCTTTTTTAAAGGTCATTGAGCCAGGTTGCTAAATACAACAAAACAGATGATTCAGAAGAAAAAATAAAACTGTAGTCTTACATAACTTTCATAATGTATGGGAAATTTTCATTGTAGTTATTCTATGAAGTTTGTCACCATACCACAAATTATCTCTGTAGTGGAGCATCATTGTCCTGCTCTGTTAGTGTGGGCTAATGTTCAGTGACTCATACATCTGTGTATATACTGCACTGTAATTCCCACCCAGTCAGCCAACCAGAGAGCTCCCAAGATGTCTCAGGGCCTCTGAAACATTGCTATTAGACTCTGCCTGGCTGGTGACTCTCTTACCTGGAAATGTGTCCTGCTTATTATTACACTGTCTTGATGGCAGCAGAAATGAAGTAATCTCTAATGTTTTCTAAGAGATTTTCCATGTTGTTCCACACGAACAACTTCTAATCATTCAGCTTGCATTGAGAAGGGGTAGCTACACTCTTCTACTGTAGAGTTGCTAGTTTTTGTTTAAGCATTACTGAGATGTGAGATATCCTCTTGGCCCTCTTTAAAAATTTGTGTTGACACTGAAGTAGAGG